GATCTAAAATTATCAAATCTAATTTGGGTTCAAGTTAACACTAATTTAAACTTGAATAGATTTCGAATCACCACCCGCTTGAGTTACAAACAATTTTAACGTATGTTTCAGTCAATTTTAGAAATCGAATCAAATTTTTAATCCCTAATTGTTAATTGTTTGGACTTAGACCATCGAATAGTGTAATGCACTTCAAATTGAGCCAGTAACAGAAATTACTCTTATTTATTAAAAGAATTATTTAAAAAGATTTAAACTTATAATGATAATATATATGAGTAAATTATAAATTTAGCAACTAGAGTTTTCTATCACTCCTATTTTACTTATTATATTTAAAAACTTTTTAATTTGATAATTAATTTTATTTATTAATTTTTTTATCACTAGCTCGTTTTCTCATTAACAATTTGATTATATAGCTTAATTTAATATTAAAACTAGCCACCTTGATCTTCAATATATTTGGGTTGATGAAAGATTAAACAATAAGATGTTAGCTTCAATTTTTTTCCCGACTGAGAAATTTGGCATTGAGCTATGACTCCCTTTTTCTTCCCTCGATTATGGGTGATGTAGCATCCCGTTTGAGGGAACCTTTGAGCTATATGCATGGGCGCATCTTCGTGGGTTAAAGAAGGTCAGAACTCTCGTCAATTATTTTCTAAAATATTAATTAATATTTTTTTAAAATAAATAATTTTCTATCAATTCCTCTCGTATTTATGACAAATAAAAATATTTTAACCGCCACCTTAATAAATCTAATTACGCCCCTGACAATATGATGAAACAGCTTTTGTAGGAACCCCCTTTGACCCACTCCAACTAAACAACACAAGTAGGGGGTGCTTGTTTTTATAGAGATATTAGTGTGGGGCTTTCCAATTACTAATATTTTATTATTCATCACGTCATAGCATCATTATAAAATTTATAGTAAAGTGATAAAAAAACTAATTTATAAAATTTAATTACTAAATTAAAAGTTTTTAAAGTACAATAACTAAAAAAAGAGTGATATGAAATTTTAATTATTAAATTTGAAATTTACCCCTAAATATATTCTAAAAAAATTGTGTGAAGGAGACTACGGTCAACCCTTATCCCTGTATAGATCCACCACTAAATTAAGTTAAACTAATGTATAAATATATTATTTCTACCTTTTCTTTACTTTTTTTCTCTTATTTAACTTATTATATTTTTATTTTTTAATTTACTCACTAAATTTTCGAATGATTCCTATTTTGATCACTTTGAATTATTTTATTATTTTTTATATGATGTGACATTTTTATTATTATTTAATAAAAACTAATTTCAAAGGTTGAGAATGATTATTTTAAATCCTTTTAAATTTAATAATAATAAACTATTAATTTGTTATTTATTTTAATTTTTTTATTTTAAATAATAATAAAAATATCACGTCATATGAAATATAATAAAATAATTCAAAATATCAAAACATGAATAATTATTAAAGTTTAATAAATAAATTAAAAGATTTAAAAGTACAATACGAAGCCTTGCCACATGACCTCGCTGTTATATAGTGATAGAGTTAAAAAGAAAAAATAATTATAATGTTAGAACTAAATTAAAAAAACAATATTAAAACTATTTTAAAGTAATATTAAATTTATACTTTTATATAAAAATTTAAATATTAATTGACACCTTAATACATAATCTGGTTCGTCACTTGTGATATACTTTTTCTGAAAGGAAAATAATAGATTTCAATTAGATGTCAATGTTGTCAAAGCGTACATCCTGTTTGAATATATTTTGGTTCATAAAAAAAGAGGAATTGATCCTCGACAGAACTTATTATTCAAGTGAGTGACTTATTCGGTTGGCCTCTCAGTTAAATATTGAGGTTTGAGAGTCGGACTTTCACTAAGAAAATCGTAAGTTTCGTTGTGCATCAATTTTATAAACAATATATCTTTATGATGATTTGCAATCCATGTATAATAAAAATAATGTCTCCGTCGATAATTATGTTAAGATCCATTTGATATAATACTTTTTAAAAACACTTTTAACTAAAAAATTATTTTTAATGCAAAATTAATGCTAAATGAGTACAAAAATAAAATAAAAAAAAAGTTAGCGGGGACAGTAGCTATTGAGGGGATTGACACCCCCAAAATTTCTAATTTTCTTTTTTTATATATAAATTATATATGTATAATATAAAATTAAGAAGATGACACATTTTTTAAAAATTTTTGACATTATATGTATTAAGGGTGTTTATTCGTTAATTCAGTCACCGATCGAACCAAATTTTTATTAATCGAATTAATCGATTTTATCTTTAACCGAATCAAATTGAAAAAAGTTTGATTAATTAGACCGATGACTGAATTGATCAAATGTTTTAATATATTTTAAATTAGATTAATTTAAATTTAATACATATATTTTTTTATTTATGTCAAATTTAATTAGATCTTGATAATTTAATAGATCTAGTGTGATTAAAAGGTAATTGTCTTAATTCTTAATAGATTTGAGCTTAAAATATGTATTTAATATATATAATATTTAATATTTTTTGCTAATTCTATTAATTCAGTTAATTAGCTGATTTTGAATCTAACTAACCATTAAATATTAAAAAAAATTAATTATTCCCCGACCGAACTAATTTTGTGGCCGGTCGTTTTAACTAAATTAATTCAGTTCAATCAATAAATTCGATTAAAAAAAAATGGACACCCCTAATATGTATGAATATTTTCTTTTGATTGTTGTTTTAATAGCTTTGTAATAATCTTAGGTTAGTTAAGTTATATTTTATATTAATTTATCAAATTTTAATATAATGCATTAATTTATATGACTTTATTTAAATTATAACACCATATTATGAAATTTCTAGCTCCGCCCTGGTGGAAACGATGGTTTCAAACCAACCGCAAAAGCTAGGATTTATAGCTTTTTCATTTTCAACTTTGTGTTTGAAAGTAAATTATAATTTTACCCTTACTAATGCATGAGCTCCACTCAATTATGTATTTGTATTATAATAATTTAATGCATCCTTAAAAAATAATTTATTACTTTAATAATTTATTTTAATCATTTAAAAATAAATAGAATTCATGATTTGTATATTAAAATATTAATAATAAGTTATATAAAATATATTTTTATTGTAATTATATTTTTTATTTGTATTTTTATATTTTAAATTGATATAATTAATACATAATAATAATAATAATAATAATAATATTTTTTTGAATTTATTACAATTTAAATGGTAATGATTTATATATAAGTATAAATATAATTTAAATATTATATTTTTAATTTACAATATAATGCTATAATAGAAATTTTATATTTTCAAACTTATTTTTTAACAACATTCTTAAATAATTAAATTTTAAATTATACTTTTATACAATATTTTTATAAGTTGGTTTCTACATCACTTTTAAAAATTATTTTTTTAAAAGTTGTACTAAACTGACTGTTAGACCACTCTTTCTCAATTGTGAGACTATCGTGATAGCCATAGTCTTGACCGATTTAATCTTGAACACCGCTGAGGTTGCGGGCAAACCCGGTGACGACCATACCATGGTGGAGTCTCGGAAGTAGCCACATCGACTTCGGACATAAGGACAGTGGCGAGGTTTCATTAGGGGGTTACTTCTTCCTTTATATAACCCAAAATAAAATCTTAAAAAAAAACAGTTAGAATATTTAGGGAATAGTGTCTGAAAGAGAAACCATAGTCAAAGGGTTTCTCCACGTGCAACTATACTTTCTAGTTCTACTCTTATCTCTTTATGCAAAATTGCATTGGGCTGGAATCCTTTAGATATACAACTCTAAATTTTTCATCGTGGATTACCAAATTTTAGTTTTGGTTTTGACTTTAATTTTAGTTTTTTAATTACATCTATTTTAGGCATGTAAATGAACTGAATGTTTAGTGAATCGTTCATGAACTGTGCGGCGGGAAGTTCGTTTATGTTCGTTTATTTATTAAATGAACGAACATGAACAAGATTTTGCGTTCGTTTAATTAAATGAACGAACACGAACAAAGGGCTCGTTCGTTCATTTACGTTCGTGAACGTTCGATTATATATTCGTTCATTTATGTTCATTTATGTTCGTTCATTTATGTTTGAACAGATGACAAGTTGAATACGTTACGAAGATTATTGAAGTTGTTTGGATTTCAAGAAGATTGTTTTACTGAACAAATTAACTTTAAGAATTTATTATGTTCATATAGCTTATTTATGATTTATGTGTGTTTTTATCGTATTCGAACAAATTAACTCTAAAGTTGCAGGTTATATTAATAAATTTTAAGTTGTTATTCTTGTTGTTTACTTTTTTTTACATTCATTTGTTTTGTTCGAATAAGTTTATTTTTTGTGTTTGTGTTGTTCGTTTATTGTATTCGTTTATGTTCGTTCGTTTGTGTTCATTTTCGTTCGTTTATGTTCGTTTATCATTTAAATGAACGAACATGAACAAGCTATATTCCTTAATGAACGAACATGAACAAAAAAAAATTTGTTCGTTTATTTATTAAATGAACGAACATGAACATACCTTTGTTCGTGTGCGTTCGGTATCGATTTCATTAATAAATTAATATAGATCAAATATTAAATATTGATCTTTAAATAACAATTTTAATTTAATTTTTTTATTTATAAATCAAAATTTGGATCTTCACGTTATTATGAAATTTGAATATTCTAAAATTCGATATATAAGTAAATTTATGGAGGATAATATTTGAATCCAGAGATTTCAAACTTAAACATAGATATAAATAATTGAAGTTGGCAAAAATTACGCTGAAAGTTTCTATAGGTCTCGTGTGAGTCATTGGCAGAAATTTTTTTTTGGCTTCAACCCAAATCGAATTGGATCATCCATTTTCACACTACAATTACTATATAGTGTACGATAAGTCAAGTCTCTCCATTTGATTTACTTTTTATTTTTCTTTTCCAGGAAAATCCCATTTGATCATTTCTTCTTATTGTGCTTATCTATATTTTCTAATTTCCCAACACCCTCTACAACTCTAATCTTTGCTTCTAGTTCCTCTTGGTTATGGAGAATCAAGATCAAGGAAACTATCACTCCCCAGGTTTTTCTTTTTCTTTTCCAACTGTTTATATGATTTGGTTTTTATTTTCATTTCTTTAATCATTTTCTGGGCTTGTTGAAGTTTTTCTCCGGTGAATTGAGTCTTGTTTCTTATAGAAAAAACTTTGGGTTTATCTTTCATGGATTTTTCAGTGTTTTCTAGGCTGGTTGAATTTGTTTGACTTTGTTAGGAAACATTTTTTTTTGTTTTTCTTATTGTCTCCAATTAACTTTTTTTTTTTTATCTTTTGGTTCTGATTATTGATGATTTTCCCCCCCACCTGTTCTAATCTAATGTGCCGTTTTGGTGAATGTAGTTGACGCAAAGATCATGGAACGGCGTCGTTCGGAGAAAAGTATCGGAGGAATAGGAGCAACGTCCACTAGACCTGAAGACGAAGTATTTTCCGATGCGGTGATGGAATTTCAAGACACCGGATTCGATTTGGATGCCGATAATACCGGTGAAGGTTTCAAGTTTGTCGACAAGGATCTTACGCCCGCCGTTTCTTTTAAAGATTGTGAGGATATTGGTAAGTTCTTATGATACCAATAGGGAAATGGCTAGATTTTCAGTTATTTTTATCTACGAAAGATCTTCCGAATTTAAATTGCGGTTACACTCGCTCAATTGCGGACATTACTATTTCAGAGAGAGCATCAACCACTATATCGATGGCGGACCGCTGTTTAAATCCCTACTTCCGACGAAAGTTGAAATAAGTTGTTTGTCCGTTCTTACCTCATTCTACTCCAAGTATCAATGTCCGGTAGACATTCGAGTATATGACAACCTAAGCTTCTGAATCATAGCAAGATCTAAAAGAAAAATGAAAGTCTAACTGAATTTGCTGTGCTTTTCATGTCGATAGATTCGACCGAGATGCTACTCTAGCATTACCGTTGATCTGATTTTAACAACTTGTTTTCATTTGCATATGCAGGCATCCTTAGATCACCTCTGAATTCAGCTGACGGAAGCCAAAAGGAAAATCCGGTTCCGAAAAGCATGCCGATTCTCCTGACAGACATACCTGAGCACAATGATGTTGGCTTGAGCTATGGTAACGATTCTGAAGATAAAGATGGTTCTGCTGGTGATGTGGTCTTGATCGAAATGGAAACAGTAAAGGGTGTCTCGGAAGAGACTAGGGAAGCTGGTACTGGTGCTGGTGCTGGTGCTGATGCCGATGAGAATGAAGACGGAATGTTAAACGAAAATCTATCAAGTGACTCGGTTCAGCCTAGCAAACATGGTGGCGAAATATTGGAAACAGAATCTAGTTTGGGGAAAAGGCTGGATGTAGCTTCAGATATGGATCAATTGAAGGAAGAGTGCAGTGATAGGTTGTCTTCTGATACACGTATGAGCGGAAATGATGAGCAGGAGACGGATGGAAAGGGAAAGCACAGAGTTACTTTCGAAGAAAATCTAATCGATGCAAGTTTAAAATCCATAAGTACGGAGGATTTAACTTCTGAGACTGGTTTGGCTGACAAAACCGTTGAATTAGAGGAAAATAGTGAAAAGTTGGCCCTCAATGTGGTCGTTGATTATCTTTCGACAAAAGCCGAGTCCTCGAAAGATATTAATGTGCCAACAGATACCTTTGAAATACAGACTGATGCAGCACTCGGTACAGACTTGTCCATTGATGTTGATTCAAATGAGGTTGATGAAAAAAAGGAAAAGGAAAAAGAAAGTGTTTATGTGCTTTCCGTTCCCGATGATATTCATGTTGTAGATGATGCTGAAATTAAGCTAATTGGTTTTAAAGATCATAAGGGAGTTAAGTTATTCCAATCCGAGGCTTTAGCTTCTGAAGAAATTATCCTTGATAAGGAAGATGAAATCAAAGACACTGCTTCACAGGAGAAATCCGATACTTTTGTGTATAATCCAATGGATGAAGACATCGTTACGGAAGATTATTATAAACTTGGTGTAAATAATGAAGCTATGGCTAAAGAAGTGCTCTTTTCCGGGAATGCTGATGCGATTCAGATTGATAAAGGGTCAGATGCATTGTCTCCAGTTGACGCTGTTACAACTGAGAATGAGGACCGGGAAGTTTGGTTTCTCAAAGAACATAAGTCGGTTTATGCTGCTGGTGAATCATATAAAGGGTCCGATGCATTTTCTCCTGTTGATCCTGGTACAACTGGTAATGAGAAGGATCCGGAAGTCCGATCTCTCAAAGAACAGCAGCCAATTTATGTTGCTGATGGGACAGGTTTTCCGGGAAGCATGATAATTGATGTACCCGATGCGAAACCTATGGTTACAGATGCTGATTTTGGGGCCGGAAAGTTAAGTAATGTAGCCGGAGATGAAAATAATAATAAAGACATGGTAACATCATGTGAATTTAGTAATATTTCTTCGCATACTAATCCAGCATCGGATTTGCTTGAAATTGATGATTTTGATGATGTCGGGACAAGAAAAACTCAAAAGTCCGGTATCAATGAAGTCGAAGACAGGGATGGACCAGAGAAAGGTCATGTTTCAATGAAAACTGACTCCACGTCCGAATCAATTAGCACTCATCACCAATCCGTAATTGTCATTGAGGAACAGAATGAGCCTGAAGGCCTGCAGTCGGATATAGTTTCTAACAGTCAAGATGACAAAAGGGAATCTAAAACAGATAGCTATGACAAGGTACATGGAGAGAGTGCCATCAAAAATCTTATGGCTTCTTCTGTAAACAATAGTGAACCGAACGAGATCGAGAGAACATCAGTCGACCTGTTGAAGAAAGAGTTGATACATTCTGGTGCTGTCAGTGATGGCCATGCTGGGGAGCCTGGAGCTGCTGCTGCTCAGATTAGCGCTGTAATTTTGCAAGGGGAAGCTGATAGTGGATCCGTTAAACCTCAACTCGATACAACTGTAGGTGATGTTTTGATCGATTCTAGTAGTCGAACTGATAGTCTGGAAGGCCACTGGGGATCTGTTTCAGGTACGTTACCATCTATTTTGCTTATTAATGCATAGGTATAGGTATAATGAACATATCCGAATCCAGGAATTAAGTAGATTTTTGTTTTTGTGCTATGGAGAGCAGTTCTGTCAACCCAATCCGACAACCCGGCTGCCATTGACACCGAGACTTTACCATCTACCGGATCACAAGCACTTCCGGAAGCAGAAAAAGCAAACATAAAGAAGTCAAAAGAAGAACATCCCGATGAATCGAACAAGTTTGAGCCGCCATCTTTCATGACATTGGTTGAAGGTGGAGGCAGTAGTGACCCTAAAGATACCGCTGTTTCCGAAACCCCAACAGGACAGAATGCCGAAAACCCTAGAGCCGGCTGGTTCCCTTCACTCACTCATGTGGCCAATGAGTCTCAAGGAAGAAAAAAGAATGAAAAGATCATAGAAAAGGTGGCTAACTGGAATGTAAACAGGCACAGTCCTCTGAAGAACTTAACCAATTATAGTGAACCCAAACCCAAGTCCTCTAACCCGAACCCGAACCCAGCTGCTTCGGGTCCAAGAGACGATGGAACCACGGGTGCCAAAGTGAGCTCAACGGTGGACCCTGAAACACCTGTGGCTGAGCCGACCAATGTTGAAACAGAGAAAGAATGGAACTCTCCACGAGGGTATCCATCTGGTATTAAGAGAGAAAAAAGGAAAGGTAGGCCATTTTGGGTACAGTTTGCATGCTGCTCATCTGTAAATTAGGATTATTAGTTACTCGGATTTATGTTGTTTTCACTGCACTTGTGCTCCATACGTGTATCAGACATATATCCGTTTAGGACACATACATGCTCCTTATTCCACATTTAAATAAGAGTTCCAGGACCATAACTTATCTTTAATACGAAATTATTAAGGATAAAAATACATAAATGGTCCCCGGTTATAAGTTATATTTTATTGAGTTCCTTGATTATTAAAGTTAGAAAATGATTTCCGACTATAGGATGTGATATTTTTTAGTCCACCGACTATTAAAAATTACAAAATGGTCACCTGACTATTTATTGTGTTTTAAACTCGTTTTTTTTCGTTAAAAATTGATAACAATTTGAGTTGGACATTAACCTGTTGATCGGGGATAGGATAAAATATGTTCTCATAATATCAAATGGCTATCATATCTAAATCAACAGGTTAACGTCCAATTTAAGTGTTACTAATTTTTTAATGAAAAAAGTACGAGTTTAAAACACAATAAATAATCTGGTGCTAATTTTGTAACCTTTAATAGTCGGGAATTCAAAAAAGTAATATCCTATAATTAAAGATATATTTTATAATTTTTAATATACAATGAACTCAATAAAGAAACGCCGTTTGTATACTTTACCCAACTATTAAAAGCATGATATTAAAAATTTTAATTCTTCAAAAATATCTCTTGAATTTTTATGCGTACACATATTACATGAATTTATGATGAGGTTATAACAAATGTCATACATTGATATACACCGTTAATGTTATATAGGCATTATTATATTTTATAATAAAATAATTATTACTTACGTATTTTATTAATTCAGTCTTGAATTAATTAATATAATTTTTGGTATTTATAATTTTCTATTGATCAAAACTTTTTTTTTATTTTTTTTATTTTTACGATCGAGTTAAAACGGATAAATCTTGTTTTGATCTAATAAATTATTCGATTAATTAGTTTGTTCTATTCCTTTCCCCTGAACTGGTTCACCGAGCAAACATGGTCGCCTAAAGGAAATGGTGTCATGAGTATCAACGAGAAGATATTCTCACTTGGTTATGGCGAGTTTACAACTGAGATAACAACAATAGATGCGTAGGACACTAACAACGGTGGAGTACTTGATCTTGTGACTTGACTGGACATTTAACTGGAAAGGACAAAGCGAATAAAATTAGCTTCTTTTTGGCACCTCAAGACTGTTACAAAATAAGATTGTTGTAAGACATAAATGTAATTTCGTAAGTAGACGTTACCCTTAAGATTAACATAATTTTCTAAATCTTGTACACACCAAATGAAAAAGTGAAATTCGTTTGTGCTAACGAATTTTTTTAGAAAAGGAAATACGGAAGCCATCAATTACATATTCAACTAGGAAGGTCTATCCTTTTAATAGGAGTGATAAAGGATAAAATTGTCAATTGAGAACTATCCACCCCATCTAATTCTTAAATATGGGTAACAATCTCTTTAAAAACAATCCCTTAATTTTACACGATAAACTATACATTTAACACTTAAACTATTAGTTCTGGTATGTTTTAGTACTTAAATTTTAAATTATTTTCAAAATTATACCGAATATTTAATTTTTGTTTTATTTTAGTACTTCGCCGTTAAAAACTTAGAGGGTGATTTGCACGTGACACATTTTTTATGGGTAAATTGTATCATTCATCACTCATATTTTTAATTACTTAACTTTTTAATTTAATTGCTTAACTTTCAAATTATTCTTAATTTAATCATTTTAACTTTCAATTTTTTTTATTTTTAGTTATATATGAATAAAATAATAATAAAAACGACATATCACAAAAACTATTAATAAAATAAATTAGATTGATTAAAATAGGATCAATTTGAAAGTTGAGTAGTTAAACTGAAAGTTTTAAAACTTTAATACCAAAATAGGAGTGAGAAGATAGTTGAGTGATGAATGATGTAATTTACTTATAAAAATGTAGTGTCATTAAGTTTTTAACGAAGAGGTATTAAAATGAAACAAAAACTAAACGTTATGCATATTTTTAAAAAATTGAAAGTTTAGATACTAAAACGGGTCAATGCTAATAACTTACATACTAAATAAGTAATTTATCCAATTTTATATTACTAACAAAAACAAGGACTGTTTTGTTTTAAATGACGTACTCAGATACATTGATGAAGTCAAACATGAAAGTGGAGCCAGGATACAGATAACAATACTGAAGCTCTTTTTGCTGTTGACTAGGGTAACTGGAAATTTTAATGCCTTCTGAAATGCAAAATTATAATGATTTATAAAAATTTATCTGCATATCATTCTCTTTCTCATGAGAATCACTTTGTTGAGTAACTCTGCCCACGCTAGAAGAAGTTAATGGACCATATGAGTAAAACTCTTCTAAGAATAAAGATGGTTCTATCAAAGAAGAAAAAGTATCAATGGCTAAGATTGTGGATGAGATTCTTAGTGATTCTAAAATAGTTGTGTAATACCTATTTTTTGTCCGGGCTTCCGACTTATCTAAATCAATCATTTCCTTATTGAATTTTAGAGAGTTCATTCACACTAATCTTGAAGAAAAGAAAAGTGTCAACATATCAGAGAATATCTTGAAGGAATCTTACCATATCAAGTGTGATATCTTATAAAGATAAATGGATATGCTAATTGATTTGCTTTGATAAGATTAGATGTTATTTCCTTAGATAGGTATGATTTGAGTAAATTTTAACCGTTGATGTAAATAATCTAGACCATTAGATGTATGGAAGCTCAACTATAAATAGAAATCTTCTCCATCCCATTAGGGACATAGAGAGAGAGAGAGAGAGAGAGAGAGAGAGAGAGAGAGAGAGAGAAAAAATTTAATCATTTTCTATTTTGGGGAGAAAAATAGAGAGGGAAAAGAATCACCAAAACATTGTAATATTAAAGATACATACAAGCAATAAAAGAGAATTTTAGTCTAAAGATCATTCTTTTTATTTTCTTTTTCGTTCTTATGGTTTCAAATTTTGACCTTATTATTTTTAAAATTTTATCAGATGACAGAAAATCGAGAAACAAGAAAAAAAAATACTCTCTCAAGAAGGTTAACCTATTGGCAGATGTTGTTATCAGATTTGGACATTCAGTACGTAAGCCAAAAGGCTATAAAGGGAAGTGCCATATCTGACTTCTTGGCCAACAGAGTTTTAGACGACTATGAATCCTTGAAATTTGATTTTTCAGATGAAAACCTTATGGCCATAACCGTAGAAGAAGCCAATACTTCCACTTCTCAATATTGGAAATTAATTTCTATGTTGTATCTAATGCTCTGGGCACGGAGTCGGAGCAGTTTTGATATCGCCCAAAGGGGATCACTACCCATTCATGAGTATACTGAACTTTGATTGTACAAACAATATGGCAGAATACGAGACTTGAGTCGTAGGACTTCAAGCTGCCATGGGTAGAAAAATAAAATTTTTGAAGGTGTATGGAAATTTGCCTTAGTGGTCTACCAACTCCAAGGAAAATGGGAGACAAAAGACGCTAAGTTGATATAATATTGAAAAACTCATCCTGAAGTCAATAGATGAATTTGACAAGGTCAAAATCTATTATTTACCCAAGAAAACCAAATGACAGATGCTTTGGCTACCCTAGCTACAACATTCAAAGTGAATGGAGGATCAGAGATGATGCCCATCGAGATGTAATCTTATGAACTGTTGGCACACTACTACCACATTAAAAAAAAGAGGACGAAAACCCTTAGTATTATGATGTTCTACGATGCATCAAATATCAAAGTTACCCTAGCGACGCAACATAAAATGAAAAACGAATGATCCAAAGAATGGTTGTAGGATATGTCTTTAACAAAAAAATCCTTTACAAGAAAAGTCAAGATCATATCTTGTTAAGGGTGCGTTTGGTTCACAGAATGTAAGATTACCAGTGGGAATGTAAGATTACCAGGGAATAGGATTACTGGGAATGTTGTATTTTGTGTTTGGTTGGCTTAGCAGGAATGTAAGATTACCGTGTTTGGTTAAAGGAATAAAATATTATTGGAATGTATATTTGACCAAATTGTCCTTATTATATATTTGTATAATATTACAAGTTGGAAAATATTTATATATTTTCTTTAAAAAAATTTAAATTCATAATATTTATATATTTTTTTACAAAATTAAAAATAAAAAAAAGTTTAATGAAAGGGTAAAATTTTATTTTAACCCTTGAACTTCATATAAAATTTTAATTATAGATTTTTTTTTGTAAATCTAAAATAATTTAAGGATAAATTTGTAATTTAACATTCGTAGAATTTTTATTATTCAATGATAGAATAAATATATTTTTGAAAAAAATAAAAATTTAAGGGCATTTTAGTCCAAAACGTCGGTAATCCAACAATACCTAAGGAAAGGGAGGTAATGACATTCCCGGTAATATACCAAAAAAATCCACTATTGGTAATCTTACATTACCGGGAATAGGATTCCCGGGCTAACCAAATGGGAGAATGTGGATTCCAATCCCATGGGAATCCCATATTCCCCCATCCAAACACCCCCTAAGGTACATGGATAAAAGAGGCTAAAATGAAACTCGAAGAAGTGCAAGAAGGAGTATGCGACACTCACACCAATGGACACACAATGGTAGACAAATTATGAGATTTGAGGTACCACTGGTCTACAATAGAAGGAGATTGTATCAGTTATGCTCGTAAATTCACAAATTATAGGTTTACGGGGATAAAATACATGTGATGATAGCACCTTTGCCCTTCTGAAAGTGGGGTATGGATGTAATCGAGCAAATTTATCTGAAGGCTTCTAATGGGCACCGATTCATAATCGTGGCGATTGACTACTTTACCAAATGGATAGAGGTAGTTTCATATGCTAATGTGAAACAATCAGCCATGCCTAAATTCCTAAATAAAGAGATCATTTGTTGATATGGTTTGCCATAAAGGATCATCATAGATAATGTATTTAACTTGAACAACAAAATGATGAACGATGTGTGCAAGCAGTTTAACATAAAACACCATAACTCCACTACCTACTGAAAAAAAATGAACATACGGTAGAAGCCACAAACAAAAATATCAAAA